TGATGTTCTTATCAAATTATTAAAGTCTATTACAGCAAAAGTTTATCTACATTGCTATTCACTTGAATTCGTAGATCAAAGGTTTATGGTTACCAACTTGGCTCGGGAGGGTCTAGTTTTTACAAAATTTGGAGCATTGTAGGGGCGAACAACACTGTGTCTTTAACAATGCATAAGAACTGCATGTGATCATTATTATAGAAGAAAAGGAGCAGAAAAACCGTAATCTTTTAACAGTACAGGAAGCGTGACTCAACCAACACAACCACAAGAAGGGACCCCTACAGCGACTTCAACGACGACCAGAAAAGACTACCAAAAGCAAAATCTAGCAACCTAGAGGAAAAAGGACTCCAAACACTTGGCTCCCGCTCTGAACGTTGGTTGACATCACAAGAATGTGTCAATTAATCTACATTTGTTACAAACACTCGGTTATTTCTCTCATTCCAAATAGACCAAGAAAGACATATGCAACAGTTGAGCTTCTTCCTATCCTCAGGTCTACTTCCGCTTCTCGCGAATGACCTCCACTCACAAAGAAAGGTGTTGATGGTAGGAGTGATCGCGGTAAATCCAGTACAAATTGAACAACCAACCAGAAGATGATCTGCATCTTCGGACTCACTCGAGCCAAGAATACAATTATCAATATGGGAGGTACCACGTTTGGCGAGGCGATCAGCAGTCCAAATCCCCTTTCTAACCGCAAGGCAGACAAACAACTTACATCTTAGCGGAGCCCATGTCGCCCAGATGGCCTTTGAAAACGCGGCGACCCCTCAAACCAGCGTGTGTATGCAGAGCGAGAAAAGAAATTTCGGTTTTGCTTCCGTGAGAGGCCGTGTCTCTCGGAAACGAAAAAAACATATTTTTTTCTTACTTTCACGAGAGGCACGGTTTTGCTTTTGCGACTGACACGGTTTTGTTTCTGTGAGGAACGATCGTGCCTCTCGGAAACGAAAATAACATGTTTTCCTTTTCCTTTTTTCCTTTTCCTTTCGCAAGAGGCACAAATTTGCTTTCGCGAGAGCCACGGCCGTGCTCTCGGAAGCAGCTTTTGGAAAGAAAAAAAAGTGCTCCCTGGTGTAGTTTTTTCGTCTTTTTTATGAAAAAAAGTTCATCAAAACCTATTGGCATGGAATTTTTTTTTAAAATCTCGACACGAGAAATCCAACAATGAAAACGGTTCGGGATTTGGACGCATGTGCGTCATTTGTTGCAACATGGGGAGATGAAAATGATTTTTGGAAGGAGTACTCAATTAAAGATTGTCTCGTGGATCCGCTCCCTGGTCATTTCGATTGTGCATGGAGCCGCAAGTCACTGGGTCATTGTTGACTTCGTGTTTGCATTGGAGGCGCACATTACTTGAGAAAAAGACAGGAGCTCTTTATCTCTTCATTTTTTTCCTTCTTTTTTGGTTTCTCTGGTTCTTGTTCGGTTTTCTTATTTCTTCTTCGGTTTCTTTCGTTATTATACTTCATTTTTTCTTTTGGTTTTCTTTTGGTTTCTCTTCATTTTTTTCATGGTTTTATCGTTTTTCTATTCTTTCTCACTTTCCTTCTTTTATTCTTCTATGTTTTTTGTTTTTATTCATTTGTTTCTTTGATTTGATTTTGTATTTTTTTCAACTTTCATTTTTTGGTTTTCCTAGTTTCTTTTGGTTTTCACTCTATATTTTTTATATGTCAACAACATTTTGTAATACACATTAATTTTTTCCCAATACAAACTGTTTTCTGTATATAATCAATATTTTCTCTATACACATTTTACACAGTTTTCAAATGCTTGATTAATATTTTTCAAATACAAGATGAACATTTTTTTGTATATGGTCAACATTTTTCTATACATACTTTAAACTTTTTCCAAACACAAGATTGACCTTTTTCTAATACATGGCCAACATTTTTTATAAAGTTTTAATATTTTTAAATGTTTTATCAATATTTTTCAAATGCAATATTACATTTTTAATGCATGGACAATATTTTTTCTATTACATATTTAGTATTTTCCAAATGCTTGATTAACATTTTTGAAATACTTGTTCAAATCCTTCGAAATGCTTGATTATTATTTTCATATAAATGATCAAAAGATTTTATATTTTTTTAATACTTGGTCAACATTTTTTCTATACACATTTAACATTTTTCAAACACTTGGTTAACAATTTTCAAATACTTGTGTAACATATTTTAAATACATAATCAATTTTTTTCACACTCATTGTATTTTTTTTGTATACATGGTTTTTCCCCATACACATTTAACAATTTTCAAAACACTGTGAAAAATATATTTTGTAATATATATGTGTACAATTTTTGGAAGTGTAAATAAAAGTAAAAAAACAGAAAACAAAAGGTCGAACAAACAAAAAAAAGATGCAGTGGCCTCGCGCGAGCTGTGCCGGCCTATATAAGTCACTGCCTTCAGCGAGAGCTCTGTCTCCCATGTTTTAGGGTATATCGGAAACTCTATTGCGGTATGGACTTTTACAGGATGTGCTAGAGATGCTCTCAGTCTAAGAAGGAAAGGAGAAGTGCTAGAGAGACCTTGCCTAGAGGCCCAATAGCACATGTTTTCCATGGAGACATCAGGCGGGATGGGGAGGGAACAAGAAAGAAGCGAGCAAACACTTGAGGGTAACCGTCGTTACAAACCGACGGGTGGGGTTGTAATACATAACTTATCTTCATATATACCAGTTTTAAGTTATATTTATTTTTCTATGGCAGCACACGGGCATTCAGTTCGTAGTAAAGATAACTTAGTAGGTTCCACAAAAATGGGCAAGAGAAGAATTTTCTTTATTGCGACAAATCAATATTTACATCCATGAGAAGGACATAGATGCATTACATACAACCAAGCCAAACAGCCATTTCCAAGCTATAACCAGAACGCCACAGGAGAAAACTGCAGGAGATTCCTATGCAGTCGACATGATTTGGTGGTGCGACGGGCAGTGGGTTGCAGCTCTCCCTCATGGTTGTACTTGAGACCAAAAATGGTGATATAGAGCATGAAGCCGTCAAACTCCAGTTCCTCCGTCTCCACAAGGCAAAACCTGGCGTTCGCCATGTACGTGAGGGTGGCACCCATGCTCCCCGGGTGCTCGAGGAAGAGCTCGTCCTTTGCCATCTTCCAGTCCGGCTGCGCGGCGAGCGTTCTGCTGCGGGACGGCACCCGGCAGGCGCAGACGTAGCCGTCCTTGCGAAGGCCGACCCACGCGTCCAGCTCGCCGTCGAAGTAGCCCTGATTTTGGAAAGGCAACGCCCAGTCGCCATGAGACCTCCATTTATGGTTCTTGGTGTCGAAGGAGTAGGTGTGGTGGTGGTGTGTGTCGTGGTTGCTTCCACAAGACACGAAGAGAGCGCGTCCGTCCGGGTGCATGGCGTAGGCGGTGATCAGGGAATCCTTGGGGAATGGCGGTGGCGACGGGACGGTTGCCCACGACCAGTCCTGGCTTGGGTTTGGGAAAGAGGTGGGATGCCAATCCTCGACGCAGGCCGTGGACATCACCTCGAAGGCCTGCTGCATGTCACAGATTCTGTACTTCAGCGCGTACAGCTGCTGCGTGTCGCCGGTGGCCGCGAAGACGCGGGTGCCGCCGAGCAGCGGGTCCGGGAGGAGAGGGCCGATGGCCAGCCCGCCCGTCTCCGTGTCGTACACCATGGTGCCGGGGTGCCTGTTGCTCGCGATGAAGATGTTGCTGCCCAGAGCGGTGAAGTTCACGGGATAAAAGTTGAAAGCGGTGAAATCCCACATCACGAGCTGGGCGACGGCTAAGGCGACCGCGCCGCCCCCGCACCCTGTGCCCCGCCGCTCCGGCGGCCGCAGCCACAAGCCATGGTGCCAGCATCCCGCGCATCCCCTGCTTCCCCTGCTTCCACAACAACGGCCACCTCGTCCAAACCCCCTGGCTTCCCTACCCCACCGCCACCATCCTACCGGATCCTGATCCCGTCCCCCAACGCTCGCCGCCCGACACCGTCAGGTTCGTCCTTTGCCCCGAAAACTCCGCTTCAAGCCAACGCCAGCTCAAGTCAAGCTCTCACCGGCCGCTTTCAAGGAGGGCGTGTTACTGCCGCTGGTGGCGATGCGACGGTAGCGCTGGAGGGCCATTATGAGCGCGGCGCCCCCTCCTTTGCAGATGCCGTGCGCGGCGCCCCGCGCCCTGCTGCGCCTGCTCTTCAGATCTTGCCAGAGGGGGCAAATCCTGCTCTTAATGTTCGCTGGGAGCTGGTCAAGCCAAGGTACTGGTGGAGGAACTCTTCTACCGGCTACAAGCATTCAAATCGCAGCTACCAGCCAGCTGGTTTCCATGGTGTTCAGTCTCACTCAAATTCAAGGCAGAAGAGGGAGAGAAGGCGCTGCTTCCACTGTCATTCAAGAGGGCATATTGCCATCAATTGCAGGGACCCCGTCCGTTGCAACCTCTGCTCAAGAAGTGGGCACAAGGCCAAGAACTGTGAGCTGCGCTTCGGTCCCCCCCATCCCACCCCACTCCCTCCCGCTTCACCGACGGGTCCCCATCTGGACCGGCAGCTCCCCTCGTCTGAGACAGCCATGCCCCGGCCTGGGGACCCTGCGACACGCCCAGCCGAGGGCGCCGTGGTCATGGCGCGTGTGGCTCGGTGGGAGGCGTCCTCGCGTGGCTGCCGCTGACATCGCCAACGTCATCCAGTCGCGCACCCACATCAGCAAGGAGTTCTTCGTCGTCATCCCGGACTACCCAGAAGATTTCTTCATCACCTTCAAGCATCAGCACCACCGCGACGCCGTCACCGCGGCGCCAGGAAGGATATTGGAGGGAGAGCTGGACATCCGCTTTTCCAACTGGTCACCGCGTGCTCATGCCGACGCGGTCAAGCTGCGCCACCATGTGCATCTCTGCCTGGAGAATGTTCCACTCAACGCGTGGAACGAGGAGGTCGCGGGCAAGCTCATCGGCGGCGCGGCCGTCACGCACTACTTTGATGCGGCCACGACCCAGAAAGAAGACGCGTCGTCGCTCAACCTCTAGGCTTGGACGACCAATCCATCAGCGATTCCCAAGGTCATGTGGTTGACACTCATCGGCGGTAACGCGACCGGCAGCAGCATCATCGTCTCCAGCTCTGAGCCGCTCCCTGGCTTCAACTCTGCTGCGGCCAGCTCTTCCTCAACACAACAACAGGGGAGGCTTGGGCTCACGTACCGAGTGATCGTGCATCTCGACCTGCATGAAGACTTTGGTCAGGATGCTTCAACGCCGCGCTACCAGCACCAGTTCGACTGGCAATATGGGATCATTGATGGAGAGGTTGCCATCAGGGAGAGCAACCAAGGTGGACGGCGCAACAACGACAACGACCGCCGTCGCCGCGACGATAACGACGACAAACGTCGCCGAGACAGAGACGACGCAGACCGACGTGGGCGCCCAGGCGAGCGCCAAGGGTCATGGTCCGACCGCTTCTTTCGTAGTCGCTCGCGCGCTGCGGAGGGGTGGCGCGACAGGGAGGGACGACGGGATGAAGGAAGGCATGCTGAGGACCGTCGTGATCGTCACCGGGGTGCCGCACCTACGCCGGCAACAATTGTTCAAGGGGAGAGCATGCCGTTGGCCAGGCTGCATCGCGATGCTGCCGGTGCCCTGGTGTGGCGTCGCATTCAGCAGCCTGGGGCTGCAGAAGCTGGCCTGGCCACGCTGCCTACTTCCCCAACGCAGGAGCGGGGACACAGTCCCCATCGTCAGGTCTCACCACACGCGGCCAGGCAACGGTCTCGCAGCAACCTCACGCCACCCGGATCTCCCTCATCGGTGCTTCCGGCGATGCCAAGCTCAGAGGGCGTCCATGTCCCTTCAATGGACGCGCTCTCCGCCGGGGTACAGGCGGCCCTACAACTATGTTCACCGTGTCGTCTCGTCCAGCCTTTGTCTGTGGTTACGCCGCCTCGTCCACCTGGTTTCGAGGTTCCCGTGGAGAGTGCGATTGTGTCCGCCCCGACTGCCACTGAAGTAGACAACTCGGACATCTTGGCTCCACTCTTCGTGCAGGCCACAGCACCGCTGCTGCTTTCGCCTCCTGTCCAGCAGTCAAGGGCACTCACCAACAGGCGCAAGACTCTGGCCGGGATGGACATCGACTGCAACGGTGGGTTCTCTCTTGGGCGGTCCAGTGCAAGAATCAAAGCGCGCCGCCGGGCCGCCCCTGCTGCCAAGGAGGCCCAGGCTTTTGTGTGCCGTGGTCTGGGAATCGTCAAAGATGGAGAGGATGTTACTGAGCGCGCGATGAAAGAGCTCGCCGACCAGTTCAAGGATCAAGTCCCAGGAACGGTGATCTCTGCACTCAGGGCGCTGTTCCAACTTGACTCAGGCCGGGCTGCTGAAGTGGAGGACGCACTGCTAGAGCATGGCGGAGCTGCTGCACTGGACCATGACGGCGCCGTCGGCTGGAGGTCGGCACTGGAGCCTGAAGCATTTCAAAGGCCCACCTGTTGTAGTTTTTTAGTTCATCATGTTAGCAAAACTTTCTGTGTCTCTGTTATGTTGTGGGGCTCATGTTTGTGTTATGAATCTACCCTGTTGGCATCAGCTGCTGTCCAGCATGCTGGTTCTATTGTGCCCTTTGTGGCTGCTATATGAACTTGGCCTGGGAGGCTACTTTATGAAGACTGCTCTGTTTCTCAATGGTAGAACAAAAGATTAACATCATGAGTTGGAATGTCAGGGGGTTAAACTGCCCTGACAGACGTGCGACGGTCCATGAAACAATTTCCGCTTCTTTTTGCCACATTGTTTGTCTTCAGGAAACGAAAATGGCATGTATTGATCAATTCCTTGCTTGCTATCTCGGCGGCAACCGGCTCCGTAGCTTTGCTCAAAGGCCCGCCAATGGCACTCGCGGTGGCTTAGTCATGCTCTGGGATGACTCTGTTGTTGAGGTTTCAAATGTGAGGACATCCGAATTTTGTCTCTCCGCCAACGTAAACATCCGCAACTCTGATTCGCAGTTTTTGATCACATCCGTCTATGGCCCAACGGATTCCGGTCGGAAGAATGATTTTTTCGGAGAGCTGGTGGCCCTGAAGCCAAATGCCGGAGTCAAGTGGCTTGCTCTCGGTGACTTTAACCAAATTTACCGGGCACGAGACAAAAATAAGAGAAACATCAACATTAGCCGGATAGACCGATTTAGAGCAGCGCTGAATCTTGGTGAGCTCAAGGAAATCCACTTACAGAATCGTCGGTTCACTTGGAGCAATGAAAGGGAGAACCCGACCTTGTGCAAACTCGACTCCTTCTTTTGCAATTCTGAATGGGACATACATTTTGACTCACACATCTTGCATGCCCTGTCAAGCTCCCTGTCTGATCATTGCCCCCTTCTTCTTGCCGATGACAGTGGCCCTCGGCGACCTCGCACGTTCAAGTTTGAGAATTTCTGGACAAGAATCCCAGGATTTATGGATGTTGTGCAACAGGCTTGGCAAGAACCAATCTCTCACTCGGAGCCCTGTCATGTTTTATTCCATAAGCTAAAGAATACGAGCTTGCATCTGTCTAGATGGAGTAAGGGACTCTTCTCCAAGGCCAAGCTTCATCTTCATGCGGCCTTGCTGATCATCCTTCAACTTGACATTGCTCAAGAATCTCGCCCTCTCTCCCATGATGAGTAGGACCTCCGGATTAGGCTGAAGAGGCGGGTCATGAGCCTGGCTGTGTTAGAGAGGGCGCGTAAGAAGCAGTGTGCTCGCATTTCCAACATCAGAGAGGGCGACGCTAACACCAAGTTTTTCCATCTGAGGGTCAACGGTAGACGGCGCAAGAACCACATACACCGGTTAAAGCATAACAATGGGTGGGTCACCGACCACTTGGAGAAGGAAACTATTGTGCATAATCATTTCTCCAGCGCCATTGGAAGAGGCACGCCAAGGTGTCGGGATTTTAATTGGGCAAATATTGAAATGGGCTAGGTTGATTTGGAAGGTCTTGATTCACCTTTCACTGAGGAGGAGGTCAAGTGCACCATTGATCATATGCCGTGCGACAAGGCACCCGGCCCGGATGGCTTTACCGGTGCATTCTTTAAGTCTTGTTGGGATATCATTAAGGTGGAGGTCATGGCTGTGATTCATAACTTTGGCAACCTACATGTAGACAACTTCCAGTGGCTCAACTCCGCTAATATTGTGCTTCTGCCCAAGAAGGATGGGGCAGAAGACATCACTGATTTCCGGCCCATTAGCCTCATCCATGCCATTGCCAAGATTGTCTCCAAGATGCTTGCAGCGAGGCTTAGCCCACACATTAACAACCTCATATCCAACGCCCAAAGTGCTTTCATAAAGAAGAGAAGCATTCATGACAACTTCATGTACGTTAGAAACCTTACACGCCGCCTCCACAAGAATAAGACTCCGTCACTCCTTTTCAAACTGGACATCCGAAAAGCTTTTGACTCGGTCCGGTGGGAATATGTCCTTGATATTCTTCAGCGGCGCAGCTTCCCTAGCAGATTTCGTGACTGGATTGCTGCCCTTCTTAGCACCTCATCATCACGGGTGCTCCTCAATGGGGTTCCCGGTTCTCCGATTAGCCACGGGAAGGGCCTACGGCAAGGAGACTCGATGTCACCGCTTCTTTTTGTTATTGCGATTGACCCGCTACAACAACTGCTCAACTCAGCCACTCGGATTGGGCTTCTGCACAAGATTAGAGGGCGTGGCACCATTATTCGGACATC